ATGTCTTGCAGGTACTTCCTGATGGCTTCCACTCCTACGGTAGCCAAATCTACGAAGGAGAACACAAATTATGCTCGCCTCTGCCGTCTCTTGGTCGATGGGGGTACCAAAGCCTTAAGGCACGCCTTTGACACCTTTCACCCTCCAGCAGACCTATATAGGGATTTACATGTAACACACCATTTGATACTGCAGTCCCTTAAGAAGAGGAGAGTTCTGAATCCCACACAATGGGGTAAGCTGTATCCTACTACTCCTGCAGCTGTAAAATCAGAGGACTTTGACATTACACTATTAATGGTGCTGCTTAGGAACATCTGTGGTCTGACTGCCCCTGTCACTGGTTGGGACAGTCTTCCACCTGCTTCAGACATGAGTGTTGTGGGTAACATAGCCAGAGTGAAGTTCTATAGGAACTCGGTCTATGGGCATGCCAGCCAGGCGTCTTTGGACGATCCAACTTTCAATACCTTGTGGCAGGAGATAAGTACCGCACTGGTTGCACTTGGTGTAGATGCAGCCGCTATCAATAAATTGAAAACTGAAACTATGGATCCAGTCGGAGAGGAGCACTACAGAGAGCTATTAAAGGAATGGAAGAAAGACGAAGATAACATTAAGGACAAGCTTTATAAAATGGAAGGTAGGAATGAATGTTTTGAATCATCTGGTTTAAATAAATGTCATCCCCACGGGATTTACAGTACTCTTGATGCAGTTAAATGATTGCATTAAGATGTGGGTGGGTTTTTAACTTGAAATGGTCGAAATTGAACTTGATGACACAATACTTACTAACCAATGAAATCTGAGGGGATATAACAAGAAACACTAGTGATGTGGCGAGCAACATGTAATTTTTCGTTCCCTTATCAACCTCCTGGGAAGAATTAACAAAGAGTACACTATAAGTAACTTAATGAAGTCCAAAGTTTTCGGCGCGACTTACTCTCGACATTCCTCGGGTACAGTTAGAAACGACCTCAAAGACATTTAAGGTGAAATAGGAAATGCCAGGGAGATGCTGAACACTACAACCGAAAATGAAGATACGTTTCCACTAGATAACCTTTAAACTGGCTTTAGACAAAGTCTCTTCGATCTAGTCTGCATATAGCACGTGGAATTGCAGTCATTGTATCTAAAGGGCTACCGTTAAATCCCGCTTTATTTAAGACGGATCGTGAGAAAAGTTACGGGGTGGGTGTTTAGGCTTTGTTTAAACTATACCGGATTGATAGCCTTTGCGCCGGTAGGAAACCCATACCGGATAGAACTTCCGTTCATACATATAATAACCGTGATTCTGGCGCGATTTCTGTAACGGAGCGAAGTTGCGCCAAGTTGATCTCGTAAGTGGAAACAGATGAAAAACGGAATAGAAAACATCAGCAAGACCCTAGAGACTTTTAAAATTTGTCGGACCAAGAAGAAAGGTCAGTAATCCCATCTATAACCAGGTTTTTATATTTCTTTTCCAAGTGCTACTCTCATTTCAAAAGCAACAAGATTACCCATGGGAAGTCCAAGTATTGCAACCATGGAGGAAAACAAAAAAAAGTGTAGAATTACTTACTTCTCCCTGTTAATTTCGGTCACATCAGTTCGTCGCTTTTAAAAGTGCTAATACCGTATCTTTGTTTCTCTGAAGGCAAACAGTAAAAAGGGAGAGATTCTTGTTAGATCACACCCCTTTTAAGCAGTTAAACTCCAGCTTATTTTTGGCAGATCATTAGTGATCATTAAGTCTAGGAGTCTTTGAGATGAACCTTATCTAGTCAAGAAAATCCTTTGGTCATCTTACGCAGCAGAAACGTCGGTACCAACAGCACAAATATCAATTAATTTTAATATTGTCTTATCATAGATGACATCAGAGTCAAACTTGACCAGCTTGACCAGTCCATGGAGCAAATGAAAAATGAATTGGCAGACAAAATTAACACACTGGAGCAGATGAAAAGTGGACTAAAGGATAACGTAGGAGGCACGTCAGAGCAAATGGAAGATATCAAGAATATTCTATCAACTTTAGCGACGTGCAGATTTGATGAAGGTTAGCCTTTACGCTTGCCTGTTTCTCCAAAATTTATCCCCCATTTATTTTTGATTAACCGAAAAAAAGGGAGTTTAAAATAACCTTTAACAGCTAAGTCTATGTCGATTTAGTTCCAGGCAAGTAATTTTCACCAACTCAACATATCTTCTTTTTTATGCGCTTCCGCACGACGAGGACTGTGGGATATGAGAATACAGGAATGCTTAGTGACACTTGCTCTCTTGTTGCCGTTTTTAAACTTTTAGAATGTCGATCACGCGTAGATGATATAAGATTGACAGAATAAAGACTAAATCAACTACAACGGTATTCCACAACAGAAGTCAAGTAGTAACTTAAATTCAGGATATTTGTATTTAAGCTGAATTTTGTATCAAGTGACATTATGTTTTCTCTTTATGCAGAGCAAATGAAAAACAACCTTGAACAGATGAAAGGTGACATACTGGAAAATATACGCGAGCAGTTGGATACTTTGATTACAGAAATGCTAGGTAGGAACTTTTGCAAGCAACTTTTGGGTACAAGCAACCTAGGACAAACCCGCGGTGCAACAAAAGGGTGTTAATTAGCAGCTCACTTTCTGTTTTGATTTTGTTCCAGCGTTTTCGAAACCTCTTTTTGTCTTTAAATAAATGGCCAAGACTTGCTCTCCAAAATAAGGTTTGACGGACTCGTAGGTTACGTCTAGGAAGGGTCAAAATAGCATCAGAGTTGATCCCTATCTTGGATGTATAAGAGCTCATAGACGGGTTAAGAATTTTTTCCTCTATAGGAAAAGTATGAATTCTTAAAGATTTAGTTCACGTAACATCATGGTAGGTAGTTGTCACGGATTGTTGCTAAGAGATAGACTCGAGAGGTCGTGACATGTAAAAAAAGCTGTAAGAAACTAAAAATCTTAAAAGGCTTGTATTCAACAAGCTCTAAGAGTACAGACCATGCATGGATAATCGTTGCCGATTTGTTGACAGGCAAGTCTAACCAACCTATGAATGTAAAAAAAAGCTCGAAAAATACCCACATTAAAGATGTTTGAGAGACTGCTTGTATTATTCAAATACTCATGGAGCAATTTTATTCCTCAGCAAAAATTGCAGAGACTTTTGACGAGATGGAAACTAAAATGAAAAACAAGTTGGACACCTTGAAGATAGAAGCGCAAAGAGAAACTGAAGAAGGTAAGAGAGCGTTGAGCGTTGATCAATTCGTTTACAGTTCATTTATATAATATTTTTGATATTTTAACGTTAATTCACTTTTATTGAAAGCGTGAAGTTTGAGGTCCATTTCTCAGTGAGTGGGCAAAAAGGTCATAAGAGTACTTCTGTGAAAGGTTTCGACCCAGGAGTCATTTCAAAAGTAGGTTGAGTTTGATCGTCTAGGTTAACATAGTCCTGAATAGGACTGTTGTTGTTGACAGTGACTGACGTTTCTACACTGTGCGGTCGTCATCTTCAGAGTCAAAGTGAGTTGTATCACGTCAGTTGATGGTATTGTACTCTGGTTATTGATCTGATTGGTCAATTACGTCGCGATGTTATTGGTCGTCTGTCAGTTAAGCCGTGGTGTTATTGGCTATGAAGACTCGTAATCAGTAATTGGTGCGTTTCGATCCGTCTATTTGATAATCCGTCTGTTGGTGTTTCGATCCGTGTATTGTCACATCCGTGTATTGACAAGAGTACTTCTGTAATGGACAAAGAAATAGATTTGCACAAATTTGTTCTTGGCAAATATGTAGCAAGATGAGAAAACGTAGGAGTAAATCTAGGGAAAAGATGGTAAATGCCACATGCAATGTGGCATTTATCATCTTTGCCCAGATTTACTCCGCAGAACTTTCACATTTTTGCGACGTATTTGCCGAGAGCAAAATAATTTGTGCAAATCTTTTTTTTCGTCCAGCAGCTTGCTAATGCTTTGGTGTCATGAAAAGGTCTTATAATTAGTTCCGTTTTCTTATCAGACCGGCTAAGGGTTTGGTCTTACTTTGAGATGTATTTCTTTTACTTTTAAACGGCCGTCTAGAGTTAAAGGTTTAAAATGGCCGCTCTAAGGAACATGGGGTCCCTGGTTGATTAAGGGGAGCAGTTTTCAGTATTTTACCAAGTTTAGACATAATCTCCCATCTCTTGCTTGATTTTCAGTTTGTATGGAGGCAACTAAACAAATCGAAAGTATTCGTCAACTGTATACAAGTCGAGAAGGAAGGCTTGCGCCCTTTTCTTGGTGTGAACACTTCTACTTTCATCTTGACGATATATTTACACGGCTCGTTATGGTGAGCAAGGAGAAAGAAGCAAGGGGAACAGGAGCACGCAGAAATCTTGAATTTACCGAAATATTCCAAGCACATAAAGAATGCGAAGAACCGAAAAAAGTGTTAATTGAGGGAAAGCCTGGTATGGGAAAGACAACGTACTGCAATAAGCTTGTTTACGACTGGGCCACAAAGAAAAACAAACCAGGAGGCTGTTTCCCGGATTTTCAGTTAGTTCTATTACTACGATGCCGCGACATTGACGTGCAGTCCAACCTTTGGGATGCTATTGATGACCAGCTCCTTCCTCGTGGAATTCAATCAGAGGATAGAGAGAAATTTATGAAGTTCATTCAAAACAATCAATCAAAGGTTTTAATGGTACTCGAGGGTTTGGATGAGTTACCTAAAAGCAGACTGCCGGAGTTCATTGCCGAAATCATTCAGGGTAGAATGCTTCCCGGTTGTCACTTGGTAGTTACAGCGCGACACGAGGCTGGGATACCTGTGGGAAAAGTCTGCGATACTCTTCTGGAGATTGAGGGATTCAATACTGAAGATGTCAAAAACTTTATATTAAAATACTTCAAAGGCAAGAATGGTTTGTCCAGAAAGCTATTGGACAAGCTCGAGAGCGATAATAGGCTCAGAGAGATGTCGACAAATCCTCTCAACACTGCACTACTTTGTCTTCTTTGTGAAGATTTTGATGGTGTTTTACCTGAAGGAAGAACTCAGCTGTACTTACAAATAGTGCTCTGTGTTCTTATGAGATACAGGGAAAAGAAAGGCCTACCAGAAGATAATAAAGACCTAACTGAATTATACAAAGATCAGTTGAAACACCTTGGCTCGATAGCACTAAACGGGCTACATGAGGAATACATGTACTTTGGTAAAAAGCAACTCGGGCAACAACATAGTGACCTACCTGGATTCGGATTTCTTTCAGTTCAGCCGGGAAGCAAACTACGACCGTTGGATGAGTGTTACGGCTTTACGCATAAGAGTTTCCAAGAATTTTTTGCAGGACATTATCTTTGGTGCCAGCTTGTTAGCCAAGAAATCACCCCTCAAACATTAGTCTGTGAGGCAAGATATTTCCGAAATATGCGACAGGTGCTACTATTTACCTGTGGTTTGCTTGCCTTGCGATCCGAAGAAAGTGTGGGAGCACTTATAAGCGCCATAGCGAGTGAAGTCAACAAAGGCGATTTAACTGAATTGTTGCCTGTTGCACTGGAGTGTATTAAAGAGTGTAAAAAGGGAGACAGTAATCTTCACTTGCAGCTTGCACGTACCTTTGGTTCACGTCTGACGGTGCAAAAAGCTTATCTAGGGGGAGAACGGATTGATGTTGCTGCTGCTGAAGTGCTTGGTGCCGCACTTGAAACAAACACAACTTTGACAGATTTGAGTTTGTCTCTCAATAACCTTGGTCCTGATGGTGCTAAGTCACTCGCTGACATGCTTAAAACAAACACAATTCTAACAGATTTACATTTGTCTGCCAATGACCTTGGCCCTGCTGGTGCTGAGTCACTTACTGCGGCACTTGGTAAAAACACAACTCTAAAAAATTTGGATTTGTCGGCTAATGAACTTGGGCCTGCCGGAGCTGAGTCAGTTGCTAAGGGGCTTGAGAAAAACAGAACTCTTAGAGCACTGAATTTGTCTGGTAATAACCTTGGCTCCTCTAGTGCGGATTCACTTTCCACCGCCCTTGAAACAAACACAAGTCTCACGGCGTTAAATTTGTCTGGTAATAACCTTGGTCCTGTTGGTGCTCGGTCATTTGCTGCTGCACTGAAAATGAACAAAATTCTGACGGAGTTGAATTTGTCTGGCAATAATATTGGTCCTACTGGTGTAGAGTCACTTGCCGCCATCCTTGGTGTTGCTGGTCGGGAGTCACTGGCTGTCAACCTTACAACAAACAAAACTCTAACAAATTTGGATTTGTCTGCCAATTACCTTGGTCCTGCTGGTGCTGAGTCACTTGTTGCTATGCTAATAACAAACAAAACTCTGATCAATCTGGATTTGTCTACCAATGGCCTTGCTCCCGCCGGTGCTGAGTCACTTGCCGCGGCCATTGAAACAAATACAACCCTGAAAGCATTGAATTTGTCTCGCAATAACCTTGGTCCTACTGGTGCTGATTCACTTGCAGCTGCGCTTAAAACAAACAGAACTTTGACAGGGTTGAATTTGTCTGGCAACAACCTTGGTCCTGAAAGCGCTCAATTATTTTCCGTCGCGCTGGAAGCAAACAAAACTCTAACAGACTTCAATTTGTCTAGCAACAACCTTGGTCCTGCTGGTGCTGCGTCACTCGCCACCGCGCTCGAAATAAATAAAACTCTCACATATTTAGATTTGTCTTATATAAATGACCTTGGTCCTGCTGGTGCTGAGTCACTTGCAGCTGCGCTTAAAACAAACAGAACTTTGACAGGGTTAAATTTGTCAGGCAATAACCTTGGTCCCACTGGTGCTGAATCCCTTGCTGCAGCACTTGAAACAAATGGAACTCTGACAAAGTTGAATTTGTCTGACAATATCCTGGGTCCTTCTGGTGCCCAGTCTTTTGCTACCATTCTTGAAACAAACGCCACTTTGACGGATTTGGATTTGTCTTACAATGACTTTTGCCCCGATAGTGATAAGTTAATTGCTGCCGCGCTTGAAAGGAGACTTACAAACCCAGCGAAAGTCATGGCGGGGAAGCGTAAACTTTCTGGATACACTTATTTTGTTCTTCTTTTTCTTATTTACTTCTTTTTAGTGGTTTGGTGCTACAAGTAGTCGTTAATGATCAAGAAAACGACGATGCTTTGTTCCTAGATTACTTGGACGTCAGGCTTTGCAGTTTCATGTTATTTTTTTTAATGAAACAGAGTTTTCTGTGGACTTTGATGTAGAGTCTACTCTACCGCTATCTTCGCTGCAATGTAACCGACGGAAGCACTTAAAAAACGTTAAAAAACACGGAGCATTCCGAACTATAAAACCACCTCCTAAAAATCGTGGTGATCAAGGGTTCCTGTTTGTATTTTTTATTTTCAATTATCTCCACGTTTTTTTAAGAACGCGCTCCGGTGGTAGTTCGGAGTACAATGTTCCGTGCTTTGTACATTCCCTGAGTTATTAAAGTAGACTGGCCACCGCCAGGAAT